AGGCCCTAAACAAATTCCATTTAAACCGAACCTCATACCCAGCGTGGTGTGAGTTCCCACGAGGAGCCTCAGCCAGCCCCAGCAGCGTCTCGTGGGAAGCAGCAGGCCGACCGACGTGGCTCAATGTCCCTGCTCGTGACTTGTGCAACTGCGCATGCCAGGACCCGGATCGGAGGGAGATCATGCTTCGTCAGCAGATAGCACAGCTAGAAGCTCAGCGACGCCAGCTGCACTACGAGCTCTATGGAGGGAACCCGCCGAAGGAAGAGCATCCTGGAACCCCATCCAGAATTCCTACCAGCACCAATTCCTCGCCGCCCCCAAGTTCGGCTTCCGCTCGCTCTGCTACACTTGACGCACCTTCCTCTGCGAGTGCTGGCCACAGTCCGGGCGACCAGAAGTCTGAGAAGGCTTGTCCTGCACACAAGGGTTCATGGCTTATCCGTTGCTGGGGACAATCAATGATTCTCGATCAGCAATGAAATCCAAGGTCGAGGTGATGCCGGGTGGGCAGGTGTTTGTCAATGGCAAGATCTTATCCGACAGTGCTGTTGAACAACGCCTGCGAAGACTTTGCACAGTGCGCAAAGGAAGCGGTGACTGCCCGGCCGGTGACGAGGCAAGAAAAATGTTTCAGTCAGGCGGTGACGATCGTGCAGCCCTCGTGGAATTGTTCAAGCAGAGTGCTCTCCAGAAGGACCGGAAGAGGTTAGCGGCTAGCGGCAGGTGTGCAGCAGCAGCAGCAATGATAATTGTGCATATATCGCTTAGACCAGGCAGGACCAACTCAAGCGCAAGATTGTGCAGATTCGAGAGAAGGAGAAGACCAAAAAACTCAAGCTGACGTGTGGGTGGTACACCGAGCACAAGATGGAAACGGCTCTTCACATGTGCGAGCGCCTTGCATGCCTACTAAGTTTCAGGTTGTGTGCCGCACACACACACACACACAGAAACCCACGCAGACACTCAGGGAAGACATCAAATCCATCGTGGCCTACACGGAGACCCGGCCATGGTTGCGACGGCGCAGTCCTTAGTGGTTCTCAAAGTGTTTTGGAGTGAGAGAGTGAGTGAGTGTGTGTGTGTGTGTGTGTGTGTTTGGGTGGGTGGGTGTGTGCGCGTGTGTGGGTGTGGGTGGGTGTGGGTGTGTGTGGGCGTGTGTGTGTGTGTGTGTGTGTGGGTGTGTGGGTGTGTGGGTGTGGGTGGGTGTGTGTGTGTGCGTGGGTGTGTGTGGGTGTGTGTGTGTGTGTGGGTGTTTGTTTGTGTTTGTGGGGTTGTCCATCGCTAACAATGCAAGTCAGGCCGTGGAAGTACAACAGCAAGAAATGGGAGCACTGGGTTGACACTGACGAGTCTGGCGAGCTATCTTTCTTGGACCGAGAGAAATTGCTTGAGCAGACTGAAGCTGAAGCTGGCGAGGGAGAACATCAGCTGGCCCTCGATTTCAATGCTGGGCCCCGGGCTGTGACAGGCGGCACCGGCTGTCCTGACGGCGAGGGTGGTGTCGAGGGTGAGGCGAGGTCTCTGTGCGCGCCGCGTAATGCATGATGACAGGTAGCTAGCATGCACTTATCATCTTAAATTGCCATGCTGCTGCCTTCTGTATAGGACGTGGTCGGCGACATCAACAAGAGCATGCAGTGTCTGCTGACAAAAAGCGCAAAGCTTGCAGACATCTTGGGCAAGCTACAGGAGTCATCCTCTGATCAAGCAACGAGGACGGAAGCACAACACACGTTTGCTAGATGCATAATGTGGCTATTCACTTTGCGCGCAACTTCCCTGAAGTCTGGCGGACCAAATCAAGAGCTTGAAAGAGAAGTTTGATGCGAGCTACGACGATATGGCAAAGGTGCTCCCGAAGATGAAAACGCCCCAAGGCATCAAGAGGTGCCTTTGCAAATAGTATGTCGCCGTAATCCATTAGCGATGCCCTGACCCCCTGAACACTCAAACCTGTTGCGCATCGTCCTCCAAGGAATGCCGAAGCCGCCGGTCAGCTCGTGGAAGATGCCGAAGTGCTGTGCCCTGGCCGTGTCAGGTTACATGGGTTGTCTTGGTCGAACGAGTGCGGTAGCTCAGGGCTTGTACGTGCACACGCTTGGAAGCCTCAGCGGGGCCAGTCCTTCGCTCCATCAAGAAGATGCCCGCCGACACTGACAAGCCTGACAAGCCGACATTGTCCACTACTTCGCGGGCTCCGAAGAGGAAGGCTGAGAGTGCCAAGAGTGCCAAGGGTGACAGTGCTCCTAAGAAGCGCAAGGGGAAGTAGGGGAAGTGATCATTGATCACTCAAGTTCTGTGGGATGCCTCTAAGTGCATCCGCTTGCTGTGTGAACACGGTCTGCAGTGGGCTTCGGGGTTCAGCAAGCCTTTAGTAGCATGCCGTGCAACGGCTTAGGAGTTGTCTTTTCAGATCATGCTGTGGAGTCTCGAACGATGGAAGAAAATGCTGTGCGCAATGCAGCCTGCTCGTCGGCAAGCAGCGACCATCCATCACGGTACCTCGATTGGTTCAGCGGCAGCAGCTGTTGTTCAAAGTGATTGCCAGGTTCTGTGGGACCACTTGGGGAACATGCTGCGCTTTGCATCGCTAATGGGGCCGACCCCTCAGGGCTCCGAATGGGCATGTACCATGCAACACACACGGGCAAACTGAACTTACGACGACTTACGATATTGTTCCTGGCAGGCTACTGCTTCCTCCGTGGCCAGCATGGCCAGGGCAGCTGTGGCGCATTATGGGCCGACCTCTTGTCCTGTGGTCACGAAACTGGCCAGC